TTTGTCACATCAAATAAAGTTGCACATAATATATACCCTATGACCTGAGAATTCTATCCCTAAGTATACATCTAACAGGAATGTTTATATATTCAATAAAATGCATATTCAAGAATTTTAATTCATTTGGCATTATTTGTAATAGCCAACGGCTGAAAACAACCCAGATATCTATCAAGAATACAGTGGATAAATACATTTTTGTGTATTCGTGCTATAGATGCAACAACATGAATGGACTTCAAAAAATAATGATATTGGAAAGCTTGGCTAAATAGAACTGCATTCTTCAAAATTCAATTCACATAAAGTATAAAAACAGAACTAACCTTTAATACTTGGATTCATGAGAGTGGCTTCCCTTATAAGGGATATTGACTGGTCAGGGTTGGGAGAGGGACTTCTGGGGTGTTGGTAATTTCTGTTTCTTATTCTGGGTGCTGATTGCATGGTTATAAACCCTTGGTGAAAATTCATTAGACTCTACACTTACGATTAGTGTCTTTTTCTATACAAATTTTACTTCATTGAAAAGTTTAAACTAAACAAAGTACATGTTCTTCTATGAATTAATTGAAAAATTGATATATCTGTGACCTACCAAACAAAGGCTCATTTTCATACACACACACACACACACACACACACACACAGCCTATGATCCCTTTGCATCTTTACAGTACTCTGTCAGTTTCCCCTTATTGAAATACCTTTCATCCTCCACATGCCTGGTCTGGTAAATCATACCTCATTTACATAGAGTGACAATATACCCCAATTTATATATGACAGTCTTGACTTAAAGTTGTTTTTCTGGAGTAATTATTAAAAGTACTAGAGGCCCAGTGCATGAAATTTGTGCACTGGGGAGGGAGGGTCCCTCAGCCCAGCCTGCACCCTCTCCAATCTGGGACCCCTTGAGGGATGTCCAAACCATCAGCCAGACATCCCTCTCTTATTCCAGAACTGCTGGCTCCCAACCACTCACCTGCATGCCTGCCTGATTGCCCCTAACAGCTTCTGCCTGCCAGCCTGATCACCCCCTAACCACTCCCCTGCCAACCTGATCAATGCCTAACTGCTCCCCTCCCAGCCTGATTGCCCCCAACTGCCCTCCCCTGCCAGCCTGGTCACCCCTAACTGCCCTCCCCTACTGGCCTGATCACCCACAACTGCCCTCCCCTGCCAGTCACCTTGTGGCTGTGGGCACCACCATCTTTGAGGGTCGAACAGTCAACTAGCATATTCCCTCCTTATTGGCTATCGGCGCCACCATCTTTGTGACAGCAAGAGGGTCAATTAGCATATTCCCTCTTTATTAGATAGGATCATTCTAGATATTTAGGACATTTCCATTACCTTTTACAGATGTCTTTACCATACTTAATTCAAGAGCAAGTATCTAGTGACTCTATTTTCCCATGTGTTTTCAAAGCATTCAACTTAGTTTATAGAGAAACATTGTAAGTATATGATAACAAGTAAAAATGGCAGAAACAGGCTTGGGAACAAACAACTGATAGAGAAGTAAGCTGGTTTCACTGTTAGATCGGCATTAATATGCCATGGAATGTGTTACAGAGAGAAAGGGCAGCCTTAGCTAATCCACCTAGTCAGTGAATTGGAGGTTGGATAAGAGAGTTTCTACTATGTAACTATTTGCTATGAAAACTACCAAGCCAGGGTCTGTAACATCCAAAAGGAACAAACTGAATACCAAAGACTGCAAGTATGTCCTGCAGTCAGTGCTGGGTCGCCGCTGACTGCCACCACTGCGGGCGCCACAACCCAGCACTGACTGCCAAGGGGGCTGCGGATCAGGCCTGGAGAGAGGCCCAGATGGAGAAGCAGGGTCTAATCCTCAGCCTCTGTGGCAACTGTTGATCAACCCTTGCCTCTCTCTCTCTCTCTCTCTCTCTCCTGGCCTTGCCAGGCACTGTGCCTCTCTGGTCAGGCCTGGAGGTAGGCCCAGAGATCCTGCCTGGCATAGAAACTGACCAATCAAAACCCATTTAAGCAATCCTATCCTATATAATCTATCTATACTAATAAAAGGGTAATATGCTAATTAGACCGGCTGACCAGCCATCTTCTGGACATATAACTTCCTTCTGGACAAAGCTATGGTTGTGGGGCCAAGGCAGAGGCAGTTAGAGGCAATCAGGCAGGCAGGCAGAAGAGTTAGGGGCAATCAGGCTGCAGGCAGGTGAGCGCTTAGGAGCTAGTGGTCCCAGATTGCAAGAGGGATGTCCCACAAGAATTGGGCCTAAACCATCAGTCGGACATCCCCCAAAAGGTCCCCAATTGGAGAGGGTGCAGGCTGGGCTTAGGGAACCCCCACCCCATGCATGAATTTCATGCACCAGACCACTAGTCAGGTATAAAAGTAAAGACACCAATCAACATGGGAAATGACAAATTATGTCTGAGTTGGCCTACAGTTGGACTCTTGTCCTCCTTCAAACTGAGTATGGATGTAATCAAATGAATGAAAAGGATGAGGTTAAACTACATTACTCTCTTGTAGAACCAAAAAGTCAGCATTTTTCTTCCTTTATGCAACCAGGGTCTTGGTCCAAAGCCAGCAAGGAAAATGTATCATTAGCACAGGCTCAACCTGGTGGCACCAAGAGTACCCTCCTGCATGACACCCTCAGTGCATTCAGAGTTGGCACAACCACAGAAATCTGACACCTGATTGTTAGTCAGTCCCTTGATGGAGATGTAGAGAAAAGGAAGAAAACCTAATCTACACTAATAAAAGAGAAACATGCAAATTAACCCAACTAAGATGGTGGCAACCATGGAGCTGGAGTGAGCAGGAGGCTTGGGTTGCCCCTGGCGATGAAGGAAGCCAAGCTTTCTTTCTGCCCTGGATGGCTGTGGCCTCTGCTCAAGGCTACAAAGTTTCAATTATAGAAGATAAATAAATCCCAGATAACTGCTTCCAGCCTGCCCTGGCCTCCGCTCGAGGAGGCGCTGAAAAAGAAAAAAAAGCAAAAAAGGAGAGGCTGGGAGCCTGGGGCATGGCCAGCCTGAAAACGGCCATCAGCC